GGAGGCCAGTTGAATTTCAAAGCATTTTTGAAGAACTGGGATCCTGAAAGGAGAAACTAATTAATTAAAAGTCTTGTTAAAAGCAGGATTGCTTTCAGAGAGCTAAGAATACATGGAATTTAAAGTGTTCTTAACAAAAGGTATTGTTATATGGTTTCTCCATCTGTCTGAAAGTGATTGAAGAGTAACCAGAAAAATCCCAGAGGTAGTGTTAGTCCACGGGGTTACAAGGCAGCAAAAAAAAAAATGTAAATCTCATTTTTCCATACTAATTTCAGTGTTAGAATATCAAAGCAATATCCTTAGGGTAAGATATTTCTGGGAAAACAAATGTAATGAGCAGATTTTAGTCCCCTTACCCCAGCTGTATTTTGCTGTGGTCTCTATGATGCCTCACGTTTTGAGCCTTCCTAGGACCCTGGGGTCTGGTTCTGGAGTCCAGGGTGGAGAGGGGTCATGTCTAGGTGAAGAAGATTCTGAAGGCCAGGCTCGGGGGTATCCCAGCTGGTCCCAGGACTGGTCAGACTCCCTGGGCTGACTCCCAGGCCAGGCAGGCCTTGAGGCCAGGTAACAGGGTGCCCTGCTACGAGGCCATCAGGAAGGCCAGCACCTCCCTGCCTCTCCGCAGTCCCTCGAGATGGTCACTGAGATGCACCCCGGTAAGACAAGGAGGGACTTCTCACTAATGTCTACCCCCCCGACTTTTGTGTGTTCCTCATTTTGTGTATTCCCAACCGCAGCCAGTTTAGAGTGATGGCGATGGGCTTATTCTGCAAACCAGCCTCTAAGGGTTAGATCTCAGGTCCTGGGACCCGGCTCGGCAAAGGGCTTTCTCCTAGCTCAGTGCAGCAAGTGCCCATGACCCTCTCCTTTCTGCCCCCTGGCTCTGCTCAGTACCAGGTATTGACAGTACCAGCTGTAATGATGACATAGAATCACCTCACCTGGTCCTCACCGTCACTCCTGTGGGTCGGTGGCATTAGCTTTCTTTAGATGGAAATGAGGACAGAGAGGTGAGCAGCTTGCCTGAGGTTCATGATGAGGAAGACGCCCCCCGGTTGCTCTAATTGTCTGGCCCACATGCCGCCACCACCACCAGGGCTGCAGGGAATGAATGGGTTTAGAACTGGTGACTTCCACTCACTCCCTCATGTTGAGATCGGGAGGCACTGGCAACAAATGGCACTTCCAAGTGTGTCAATTTAAAAAAAAACATGCATCCCACATTTAAAATTATTCCATCTTCCCATTTCCCTTCCAAGCTCTTCTCAACTTAGATCCTTTGTACAAGCTGTTCCTTCTGCCTTAATGCTCTTCCTTTACACCTCATGGAGAGGTCTCCTTATCACTCAGGTCTCCATGTAAGTGTCATTCCTTTGAGAGGCCTTATGGACCCACCCCCCAGGCTCTATCACATCAGTTTTATTTTCTTTATAGAACAAATCACAACCTGAGTTTTTAAGTTTGTCGCTTCCTTGGGTCACCACTAGAATGCCGCCTCCAGGCGGGCTTCTGCGTGGCAGGAGTATGCCCAGTACCTAGACTAGTGCCTGAAACAGAGTGAATTAGTAAATGTGTATTGAATAGATTTCTCAGCTAAATTAATGAATATGTGATTATAATGAGAAATCTGGCAGCTTATGTCAGGAAGAATATTCAATTTTCTACCCTGATGCCTATGAGCAGGTTTCCTTTTCTTTACCCACACGGCTCATGTAATTGCTCTTGTTGTAGTCCAAGTGCCTTTATTGATCACTTACTGTGTACCAGGCATGGCATTCTGACACATACCATCTGTGATATCCAGGAAGCCCAACAAGAAAGGTCTCTGCTATTTCACGTCCATGTGGTTTGTATTAACTCTGTCCTCTGGCTGTCTTTCTCTCTGGCTGTCTCTGTCTCTCTGGCTGTCTCTGTCTCTGTCTCTGTCTCTGTCTCT